GCCTGCCACTGTACCCTGGGTGCAGCTGAGAATCCTAGGCCCCTCTCCCCTCATCTCTGCTGTCAAGACCAAGGAGGGCCCTGCTCCTTCCACTGAGTGTGGTGTGGTGGGAGAGAAGCTCCAAAATGAGTGACTTGGACCAAGACCTTGAGGTGACAAATGACCCACCATCCACACCATCCCACAGACATATGACAAAATGACTCACTACTATCTCCAGGGAGAACTGGCCCTCCCTCTCACTTCCTCCTCTATTTCTGTGGCCAACAGCCCCCCTGGCCAACAAGGCATTTCCTCCAGATCTAAACGTAGCTCCTGCTGCCGGTCACGCCCTCCTCTTAATGCTGAGGGAATTACAGCAAGCCCCGCTCTGCCCTTCCCCTGCTGGAATACCCTCACTCCTTTAGACTCCGCAAGGACACCTTTTCCGAGACCGCGTTTTCCTTCTGATAGCTCTTGCTTCTCCAGACTTGCACCAGCCTAAGGGCGGGAAGGAACACAACATGTGGGGCTCCAGGGAGCATGGAGGGAGGGGTGGGCGTGGCCTAGCCACAGAACCACCAACTCGTGTGGTGGCAATGCCCTTGGAGACTGTCTGGTTCCAGCTCCTCAGTTTACCAGTGGGGACACTGAGGCCCACAGAAGTGAACATCGGTGTCACACCCATTTCTTCTTTTCTTTCCCCTAAGATAGGGCACAGTCCCCAAGTGGGGAGCTCAGGGACTGTAGCAATGAGGAGCAGCGCCCTGGGGTTCAGGGCACTAGGTGAGTGACCTGGCCAAGAACCTCTGCTCCTGGCCAGTCTTTACTGAAAAGAGACGGGGGTTGGACTCAGTGGTCTTGAGTCCCATTATGGGAGCTAGACGGATGGAACGGAGAGGGTGACCAGGTTTACCTCACTCCGCGCGCAAGAACCATAGTGATAAGGAAACCCCTTTCTAGGGACCTGTCTTGCAATTTAGCTGCAAGCTCTGTTTATGGAATTCTTAAATATTAATTTTTCAAGCCAACTTAATAATGTGAGAGATTAAAATGAGCATGATAAGGCTCAGTGAAGAGACAACAGCCTGCCATTAGTTTCGGTGGGAAGTTTTGGCAATACTCTAAGTGCATGGACACACACAAATACACACACGTCCATGCAGATGCAAAATGTGCTCACAGAGGCAGAAACACATGCAAACACACTAGAACAAACGCACACCATATCCTCTGATCCCTCATGTGCACATCTGAATGCATGCACACGTACATACCTGCACCCACACGAACACATCTGCACACACACGCCAGGTCTAAGCCATAGCTGCCACCTCCCTACCCTTGTCCTTGCCTGCCTGGCCTCTGCAGGTCTGTGGAAATTCCTTCCCTTCCACGTCTAAATTTAGTGCATCCTCCCAACTTGGCCCTGGCTTCAAACATCTGGATCAGCCTCTGGGTCTCCCTCAATGACTGATCTTCCCTTCCCCCTCCTCCCTGCTGGCAGCCAGCCCCTTCTCAGAGGCCCCCAAAGCCTCGCATCAGAATGTTTAGTATGCAAAGCCCGAGTCTGTCCTCTGGGACAAGCATTATGTGTTTATTGTGTGGTTAAGCAGGACGGGAGCCCTGCCCCCCCGCCCTGGTCCTGGCTCTGTTCCCATAATCTGAATCCCAGAAGGGTCCTATAAAACCATCATCTGCAATGCAAAATCCACAAACATCTGGGAGGGTCTGTAGGTTTTCTCCAAATCACCTGTGCCCTAATTTAATATGAATAACAATTCGTTTACTCTTATCAGTTAATTGTTCCCCCCGTGGGTTGGCTCTGCCTTGGCCTCTCTCAGCAGGAGCTTCTGTCTGCTCCAGACTCCTAATGACACTTCCTTACAGACCAGCCTTTCCTTCTCTGCTGCAGCCCCAGACCAGTAAGGCCCTTGAACCCCTTGGCTTGCTGTCTTAGCTGTTAATTACTGGGGACTCCGTCTGTAGGGAGCCCTCAATATCCCACCTCCCTCCAGGACTCAGCAGCAGTGATTTTGCTGCCGTGAGGAATCCCACACCACATGGTGCACCTGCTCACGGGCCATTGCCCAGGCAAGGACGCCCAGCCCTGCCCACATGTGTGCACTCCCAGGCACCGCCAGAGAACTGGGAGGGAGAGCAAGATGGGTTGCCCTTCTGCCTTGAAGGCAGGCAGGGGGAGTCCCCGGGGATCCAGCCATGCCTTGCAGAGTCTGGCAGGCACAGAAGGACACTCCTCCAGGCTCCTGCAGGTTCAGTGTGTGTGCTGTTTTGGGTAGTTCAGTTCATGGCCCAGAGAGAGACGAGGAGGACACCTTTACCTCTTTCCCCCAGTAGAAGGTTTCTGATCTGAGCTTTGGATCCTGAACATTCTTGTTTCCCCGTAAGGACCCAGCGGCCATGGCAAGGGCTCTCTCGGTGCCCTAGTCTCTCTTGCCCTTCTGCTCCTGCAGTGCCAGCGTCCTTCCTGGGCTGCTGATAGAGGGCTGCCTCTGCCCCCCACATTTCTGCGTCCATGAGAGGACACAGCTGTGTGCTCCCCTTCTGTAATTTCATTTTTGTGTTGCTTTGTTTTTCCTGTGGCTGAAGGAGGCCTGAGAGGCAGGGCGAACAGGGCCCTGCAATTTGGGGAAGCATCTTTCAGAGGCTGGAGCTGTTCTCTGTCCTCTTGGGGAATGGGGATCATTCGTGTTGCCCCTTGACCTCCCCAAACACTGCCAGAGAGCTGGGTGGTGAGAGGAAGATGGGCTGCCTAACTACTCCGCAGAGTTTGCTCTCCCCGTGTCTCCCTGGAGCCCCTTCCAAGCTGGGCACTGAGGCCATTGCTCTCCCCTGCAGCCCACTGAGGTCATTCCCACTGAGAATGACCCTGCCCCTGAGGGCCTTTGCCTGGACTTCTCTGGGGCTCTTAGTTTGTCCACTCACCATACATGCGTCCGCCTGTTCACTTCACATTCCTTGAGCTCCTGTCATATGCCAGGCATGGTGCTTGGCATCAGAGACATGGCAGTAGATGGCAACAACCAGAAAAGCTGAGGCAGTGGCTCGGAGTCACACAGCTGGGCCTCATAAGAGAGGTCCTGGGCTTGTGTATACCAGGTGCCATTATGCCCGTGATCCAGGTTGGCTGGGACAGGGTGGACTGTAGAATGAAGGTGGCGTCTCTCTGTCTCTTGACCTCTCTCCAGTTTAGAAAAAATAAAATAAATAAGACAACGGCAAGGTGACTTCGTTAGCCCTGCACACATCCCAGGCAACGTTCTGAGT